TGGCCCAAGTTTATGGCAGTGTTTGCAGTAGCCTGGGACACCTTCAAACTTACAGGGTAGGATTAAATCTCTTGGCCCAATTCTCAGATGAATGTTAGGAGGTAAGGGATTGGCAATGTCAATTTCAATGCAGCATCTAGCTTCCCTGGTACGAATAAGGTTAACTGTTTGGGAATCCAAGAGACAAGGTTTACCTAATGTGCTGGCTATAGTAAACAGAGCCTCAAAGTTTATGAAATGGGAAGGGAGGTGGCTTATGGTAACCCAAATAGGAACAATAGAGCAGTCTTGGTGAGAGCAGTAATCAGGTGTCCGTTTAAAAACATATAACTTGATATTGTTGATAGTCCAAGTACCTCGAATAAAAAATCTCAAGTATTCTTCTTCCTTGTTGAAAATGAACAGAACATCATTGTTGAGAAGCGTGCGTAATCTAAAGCCCCCCTAGTATCCAGTCCCTTCAAGGAAACTTTTAATGTCATGAAGGTTGATGAATTTGCCAGCTCTTCCCACCAGCGCAAACTTGAAGTTGCTACAGAGTTTCCTTTCTTCGTTCAGGGAGAATGTTGTACCCGAGACCCGGGGTCTTATCGAGTAGCTATTTTGTGGCGGATTTGCGAAAGGAAATGGATGATGGAATTGAAGGGGTGAAATATGGAGTGTGGGAAAGAGTTCTTTTTTGTGTTTTTTTAATGAGAGAAAAAAATAAGTTTAAGAAGAAGAAATGGTGAAGAATGAAATGAACAGAAATAAAGTGAAGGGATAAACCAAGTTGGTGTTAAGAGATATTACACACTCTTCTCTTAACTTGGGGCTTTTATCTTCTTTTACACATTAATAATCACTACTAATGTATAAAATTAGACTCCTAACACGCACTCAAAAGTAGCCAACTTTAGAGATATTTCATTAGGAAATTTGGTTAAAATAGCATCACACTATTTTAAAGGAATTACTCAAAGAGTAACACAAGTTTTCATTTAATAATCTGGTGTGTTACAATGGCCTCATGGCTGAAGTATTTATACAACAACAAATAAGGAAAAATACAAGAAAAAGGAAGGAAGAATACAACAAGGAAGTTTCCTACTTCTTTCCTACAAATCAATGCTTAATGCCCATCCATGTGAGTTGATTTTCCATGATGCTTCTCCTGATTTTGAGCTGATCTTCTTTGGGTTTATTTGGGCAGAAATTTCATGCCTTTATGGAAGAAAACAAAGGGAAATCAAGCTTTTGACAATTGTGAATAAAATGCCAAAACAGCACTATTCATTCAATGACTTTGTTTGTGATTTTTGTTCCTTTGTGTCAAAAGTGATCATGCTTTTGTTTTATGAAAGAAAAGGCTTTATTCTTTGTTGAAAATCAGGGAATAACTTCAGCCTAATACCCAAGCTTAGAAAAGGCAAACGGGAATTGAATAGCTTTGAGTTTCAAGGTTCAAAGATGTAGAATAATCAATTACTATCTCTGGATAATCGATTCACAAGATTTGGTTTCAATCCGGAAATGTTCAGAGAAACCAAATAGTCGATTGACATTCAAAGACAATCGATTATCAAGGGCTTGCCCAAAGCTGGATACTTTCCAGAGAGTAGAGATAGTCGATTATTACTTGTAAGATAATCGATTATGTCAGGTTGCTGGTTTTGCGAAGAAGAATCAGAGAGCTATAATAGTCGATTATCAATTATGTATAATCGACTATTCAGGGCTTTAGAATCAAGGTTGGAAGAGAAAGTGGGAAAGGCATAATTTGGGTAAAAAGGATTTGAAAAGAAACAAAGGTTTTAAAAGATAATAAGAAACTAAGGTTTGACTTGTCTTCCTTTGATTTCATTTTTGACCTGGAGTTAAAAATTGATGGGAAAGACTTTATTTTGAATTAAAGAAAAGAAAGAAGACTTTTGGATATGTTGGGAGAGTTGGGATTTTAGTGGAGTCATCCAGGGGTACATCATACTCCCCTTCTTTGAAGAAAGTTTGTCCTCAAACTTTCGCACCACCGTGACTGATTTTGGGTTTCATTAAAAAAATTCTCGGATCAAATGGGAAAATTGAGAAAACACCAATGATGAGGTTCTTTCTGGAATCAGTTTGCACCTCTTTGTGTAGTGTTCGGAAATATGCAATCACTTTTAGTAGAACCTCATTTACACTTACTTCATTGATTGGATGAGATTCTCCTTCACTGATTAGATGATAATACTTTGAGGAAACCACTTCCTTAAAACATACATCACCTAGTGTAGCTTCCTCCATGACATCCTTTTCAAAGAAGTTTCCACAACTAAGGAGAGAATCAATAAGGACTGAATCTTCTTGTGACTTAGAAGTTGGTTCTTCTATGAAGACATCTTCTTCATCTTTGACATGGTTATCAAAGACATCTTCGTAATTGCCATCCTGTTAATTCTCATATGCTGCTATGATCCTTACATGCTCTTCATAAGGAATGGCTTCTTTATTTGTGCACCTCCAATAATGATGGCCATAGCCACAACACATGTAGCACCGTTTAATAGGTCCTTGAAGGATTGCCTCATTTGCATAAATAATCTCAAGATTTTTGAAGTATCTTTGGAATTCAGCTGATCAAGAAGGTCACGTAAAATTAGGATTTTCCATGATTCAATTCAATGTGTGGTACACAATTTATATACAAGAATTATAACTCCTAAACATGGTAGGATTAAATATATGGAAACTAATATATTTACAGTAATAAATAGACTATATACTTTACTTAAATATTATATCTATTTAACATGCTCCCGACTACGTTGGTTGAGGAGGCGGCCCGATGCCAAGGTTTTCCTTGAAGTCCGAGAATAAGAGGGAGGGGAGTCCCTTTGTAATGATATCTTCATACTGAGAGGTTGAGGGAACATATAATACTCTAATCTATCCAAGTGCTACTTTATCACGAACAAAGTGAATATCAACTTCCACATGCTTAGTACGCTGATGTTGTACGGGGTTAGATGAGGGATAGACCGCACTTACATTATCACAGCTACTGCATTTGCCACGGCTCAGTACTCTGCTTCAGCACTTGACCTGGATGTGGTTTCTTGTCCTTTGGAGGACCAAGTGACTAGATTGTCACCAAGGAAAACACAACACCCGGATGTGGATTGTCGTGTGTCAGGACATCCAGCCCAATCGACATCTGAGTATGCCTGTAGAAAGTCAATGCTGGATCGAGTGATACAAATGCATGGGTGGCCGTCCCACTAATGTAGCACAAAAGAGGCTTCATGGGAATTCTCAAAGAAGTCTAAATTACTTGGGAATTCTCAAATCCGGAATGCTCAATGATACACGGAAGTCTCGCAGCAGCCCGCATGAAGACTAAGTCATCTGGATAGGAAGACTAACGCGGATCACTTTCTCACCCGGAAGTCTCAAGATGACTAATCCGGAACTGTTATGCTAAGAGCTGGATGTCTCAAGGTGGACCAGAACTCTCAGAAGCGGGCAAGTGAGAAAAGACTTAGAAAATAATCTAAGTCATGAATGAAGGAATTCTACCCGTTGGCAAGGAAAAATCAATATCTTGATTTTCAACGGCAAGATTGAGGATAACTTAGCTGATTCAAGAACAAATGACAAGAAGACAAAGTGTGGACTCCCAAATTCA